CTCACTGGTACCCAGACAGTGTACGAGGTCTGTCCGGAAAGTTCGTATAAAAGTGTTCTGGAATGCGAGAAAGAGGAGTGGGGAGGCCAGGTAAGCGCAGGACCCCTTCCTTATGTCCCTAACAATGCTTCAGTTCTGGTCTGACCGCCGTGCGGTGCGAACTGGCTTGTCACGCCATCTGTGAAGTTACCTCTTAACGAAACCCCGTCGGCATGGAGCCCGCTTCCGTTGAAGAGCAGCGCGTCGTAATCAAGTTTCTCTCGAAACTCGGCAAGAATGGCCGTGAAATTTTTGCCGATCTCAGAACAGTTTATGGGGATGATGCTGTGAAGGAACCAACCGTCCACAAGTGGCTAAAAAGATTCAGAGAGGGCCGAGAAAGCGTTCAAGATGACCCACGTTCAGGACGTCCTTCCACTTCACATTCCGACGAATTCGTCCCTCCAGGCCAGACAGTTGATGGAAAATTCTACGTCGATGTGCTCAGACGCCTCAAAGCTCGTGTGGCACGAGTTCGTCCAGAATTGGCGCGAGAGGGGCGTTGGATTCTTCACCACGACAATGCCCCTGCCCACACCTCTCTTGTTGTCCGTGAGTTTTTGAGTAAAAATTCCATTACGGTGACCGAACACCCCCCTATTCGCCGGATTTGGCCCCGTGTGACTTCTTCTTGTTCCCAAAAACCAAATTGGTACTTCGGGGGCGGCATTTGGGGGACATAAATGAGATAAAAAAAGCTACGACGGGGCAGCTGAGAAACCTACAACCAGAGGACTTTCAAGGAGCCTTCTCACAGTGGAAACGGCGTTGGCACAAGTGCATTATGTCACAGGGGGAGTACTTTGAAGGGGATAAAATTGATTTACCTGAATAATTGTAAAATAAAATTTTTAAAAAACTTTTATACGTACTTTCCGGACAAACCTCGTATACAGATAGCGCAGGCAGGGTCACCAGTCCATTTTCACCCATTAAAAAAATCCGATATGCACAGCCATGGAAAAACAATCATTTTGCAGTAAAACACGAGCGGGACAGCAGTGCAGCGAGCAGATTTTTTACAAACTCTTCGTCTCGTAAATTACCAAAATGGCTACTTCAGACCCACGAGTCACTGCTCAATTTAGTTTTATTCTATATAAAGGACAATAGAACTTTCCCCACTCACAAAGGCGCGAATCACGTAATGAACAAGAATTCTGTATGCCATTTAAAGTTGCCGATTGAAACTTCGGGACCGGGTGATTGATCGAACGGCGAGCGAGATTCTCGGGATTTCTTCGCTATCCCATTCTTCAATTCGTATTGTTTGTTACAATCGATTCTGTAGCTATTGGGGGGTGTTCTTGAAATAATGAGCTCGGTGTTTTGTTGGCAAGAACTATTATTTCTGTAGTATCTCGGAAAGTTCGAACTTTAATCTTTAAATGAATGAAAACCTTATTGTTTCCATCAAAGAATGATACAGATTATAAAGATTAACAATTTGTACACGAAACAGAATGAATACTTAATGACATCAATTTTACTTAAAAGCAAGATAAATAAGTAATAATGATCATCATGAACATCACAGACACTATGATACCATAGTACGTCTTATGTGTTGCCAATAATGAGAACAAACGATAAGCTCCCGTACCCTGTAATTTTACTGCCATATCTCACTCATTTAACCGAAATATAACCATGCAACTTTTAATGGATGAAAATAGAATGGTAATTCCGTTGACGGGGCACCGGTGAGAGATGATGATAGGTGAGGATGAAAGCAAGTCATCAGCATGGTCCTTCGTGACGAATTCAAGAAGATCTAATCACAATGCTTTCGAAGGAGAACCGCGTAGATGTTTGATAGAGTATATTGCTAACAATGGCACAAAACGATCCCTTTCACTCCAGCTATGTAATTGGATACAATCTCTTAAACAAGAGGCCATAACCAATGACCTATATTATTATTGTCATTGTTCTGATTGGATTTTTGGAGACATTCGTTGATAATTCACAGCAGTAATAGAAATGGTAACTGTCAAACCGTTGTTTGATAATTTTGCAAACGTTAAAATAAGCCCAACAATAGGGAGAGTGACCTCAAACTACACTTACCGCCTTCTACTTGAACTCAGAATATTTTAAAGATGTAATTTATAATGCGCCGATTACTGCAAATTTTGAAATATATCCAATGCTTAAAAATCTAAACCAACAACTAAAGGTGGATTTAAAATGTAAGAAAAAAGGGTACAGAATAAGATCACTCAGATGAAATAAAACATTTTGTAGAAGTATCTAAATAAAATCGATATTTAAGTTTTGGACCTTTCCAGTTTACGATAACAATTTGGGAATTTAAAGATATCTCATTTGGGAAGGAAAGTAGATTCGCCGGGATGATTTCGGGATAACGAGTTTATAAAGTGAAAATGATTGTTATTCTAGATGATTAGGCGGGTTTTTGAGTTTCCATTAGCTTTAATAAACCTGAGGGTTGATGGGTAAATAGATTCGACGATTAATGTGTCTTAACCGTCTTTCAAAAAAAAGAAAAAGTTTATGCTCACTTTTATACTTTATCCGAGCAATAAGTACCATATATTATCATTTTCGTATATAATATAGTATATCTTATATATGTGTAAATATATTTGTTAGGCCCCCCTTGGGATTGGGGAAAGGGATTGTTAGTAAGAGAGACTGAGAATCCCATTGCTAGCAAAATACGCAACAAAGGTCGACCTCCTCGCGGTTCTCCCTGGAAACTATCATGGTTAATTCCTGATGAATTCATCATGATAGGCTAACTGGCCTGTTTTCATTCTCATCTATCACCCTTCACTGGTGCTCCGCCAGCGTATCCCGTTAGCGCATGCGGAGTTACCATACCATTTTCACCCATCAATAAAAAGTATATTTGTTATTTATATACATTTATTCGTTTATGTATGTTAATCTTAGTATGTATGTGTATCAATAATTACCAGTACCGCATTCAAGTATTCCGACACTTACCTAAAGATGACTGGAAGTAATTGCTTTTAACATCAAGTCCATCATGTATACATACATGTACTAATAAATAAATAAATAAATAGTACACAACTTACATAAGGTATTCATCGGTTCATTATTTCAGGTACTGAATTCTAGTGTCAACCCCATGAAACTATAGGATCCTATTACATGAGGACAAAAAGTTCACAAACATTCTCAAATATTAGTTTTATAAGTTAAAATAATGAATTTTACATCTATTAAATATTCGAAGAAAAGTCGTCAAAATCGACTAATATGTACCATAAAGTACCACAGAGTAAAACCAAATACATTACAGAGTAATGTGAGCACTAAATATTCAATGAAATTCTATAAAATGTATGAAAAATTTATCACAACAAACATTTAGATATCAAGCACAGAATATGTTAGTCACATTAAAACCTTAACCGATAGGTATTCGAAATTTCGAAGAAAAATCGTCTACATTAAAAATGTATTAGACAACACAGAGTACCTAAAGTAAATACAGTTTACCAGCATTCGCATTACAAATGTAAAAATTCTAATATATTCTTTTATCATAAACTTACATGTTAATCATCTTTATATTCGATATTTTTATTCGATTTAAATATTCGAAGAAAAATCGTCAACATCGATCAGATACGTACCATAAATATTACCTAAATGCAGTTTCCCAACATTCGAATTACAAACTTAAAATTCGAATATGTTATTTTTGTCTTAATCTCGAGTTGTACTCAAGCGTGGCCTGAGTCATCTTTAAAACGATTAAGTATTCGAAGAAAAATCGTCAACATCGATTAAATACGCATCATAAAGTACCTTCTGCAGAGTAAATTCACTGAATATTAAAAAAATAATGGATTTTCCGCGAATTGTATGAGAAAATATTACAATTGTGATTGGCGTGTTCCTGACTCATGAAGTTAATTGTAAAGAATCTACATCTATAAATATATATATTGCACTCGCATTTTTAAATCGATATCGGCAATCACTACTACTTATATGAAGGTGATGCCCTCTGGTGTCAACAATAGTTTCTAGTTACCTTAATAATAAACGAAAACCTCTAATTTGGTTTACCAGAGAATGGTTTCATGTTACCTTCCATTCCCGTGGGTGTCGTAAGAGGCGAGTAAGGGAGATGGACAGCAGCGTCCCTCTTAAAACATCACTAATCTCTCGTGGCAACAGCCAGCAAAATCGCCCCAAGGGGGACGCTTATGTTCAACAGTGGACAAGGCTAATATGGTAATGATGATGATGAAAATAAGATATTGTACATAAGTTCTCTGTCCACACGAACACACTTGTCTCATTGCTTTTCAGCCGGGAAGTAGTTAAAGCATGGTTGTATTTCGACTTGAATGGAGAGATATAATAGGAAATTGTTAAGTATGGAGGCTATTGTGTGATATCTACTTGTACAACTATAAGTTATCGTATTTAGAAAAGAATACATTTCCGTTTAAATTTTTTTTTTTAATATTATATCCAATGTTCTCTTTACAATTCTGGGTTGCAAGTAGATATGGTAATATCCGATATATATATATATATATATATATATATATATATATATATATATATATATATATATATATATATATATATATATATATGAGTTCTTCTGGACATTGATGAGCACTCATTGCGATAACACCCATACCAGTCGGATATCTATATTCACTACGAGCGGATTCTTCTCTTCGATATTATATATTGGATAACCGTTAGTTAATATATCGGTTATAGAGCCAATATACGTATAGATATTGTGACAATATATAGATATTGTTATATATATTACCCTTAATTACAAGCTGAAATACAACCCTACGTTGCGGCCAAGTAAGAGCAGGCAACCCGGATGCATTACATTCACACTCATGTTTCATTTAAACAAAGTGTTTAAAAAAAAACTACCTACAGAAATCAGCACTGGGATCTTAAACTATAGCCTGTGTACTCACCTGGGCTTGTGATAGGTCGGATTGCTGTTCGTCTTGAGAATGTCGGCATTAGGCACCGATGTGGGGAGTGCGTGCTCCTTCTCCAGCTCGCTCTCATAGCTCTCTAGCGGCACGTGTTTGCCGGGAAGCGGATCGGCTGTAACAAAAGAAAAAAGAAAAAAATGAGAAATTATGAAGACCGGCTCTTTTCTTTATAATATTGAAAACTTATAGTCGATAAAAAAAAAATCGAAAAGTTAAAGAAAGAAACATTTTATTTCTTCTTCATGTCGTTAAATTTCGTTCTCTAAAAAAGGTGTATTAAGGTTTCCTTAGGGTCGGCAACGCGCACGTGACACCCCTAGTGTTGTAGACGTCTATAGGCTACAGTGACCGTTTACCATCAGACGAGCTGTATGGCATCTTCATGGTATAAAAAAAAATCCAACCCCGATGAAATTCAAGTGTACGATATAAAACAACGATTTTTTCTTTTATTATATATATTATACGGGGATAACGGAACAATTTTATCTAGTTGCCTGCCCGTCTTCGCCTGGGTGGAGAGTTGGAGACCTCTACATCTTCTGTCTTACTCACTCACTTTTTATACGGAGATTTTTTTAACCCAATCTTTTCACTTTTTCATACTATTTTTAAAACATATTTTTTCCAGTTTGTAACCTTATCCTGACAAATGACAAACACAACAAAAAAAATTAACCAAATAGGTGCAGTCCTTCTGAAGTGATTTGCTTACTTTATTATTATTATTCGCTTATTCGACAATTGTTTTTCATTTATACAAATTCCGTTAACAATAATTTAACAATAATTAAGTAAAGCTAACACAAAAATGCGTCATCGAAAATTTCTCTATGGTTCCCTCATTTCCCGCCAAAACTGACTAATTGACGTTTCTAAACGTGTAATAGTTCTGTTGTTATAGTCACGGAGCAGTTTTAGTAAATTTATTTAGTTGTTGCGAAAGTTTATTGCATGTTGTACGCCGTTACTGTTGTAATTACAATAATTACTTATATTTTTAAATAGAAACCATACTTTCTGGCTGTCACTGTTGAAAAATTGTTGTTCTAAATTATTATGTATCTCATTAAAACATTATAATTATCTGTGGTATTCACAGACATTTAAATTATGGCATGATATTGGTAACCAAGACTAATATTATAAATGTGAAAGTGTGTTTGTTTGTTTCTAAATTTTATTGCTTCTGTTGAAGTAGCCTATACCCTTCTATTATGTGAATAGGGGGGGGGGGGGTTTGAAATTGTTCGTAATTGGGTTTAAATTATTTACTTTAAAGAGTAAATAATTTACTCCTCTATTGCTAGCAATATATCCTATTAGCTCCACCTTCCCAGTGTCAGTTCTTGTTGAATTCGTCACGATGGGCAAACTAAGCTGCTTTCCTATCATTTCTCGCTGGTACCCCACCAGTGTATATCAATGGGAAGGCGAGATTTCTATTTCACTCTCAGCTATTAAAAAAAAATTGTTTAGGAAAAAGGAAATATTCGAAAAATCTAGATCACAATAATAATAAGCTCGACCTCTCCAGTAACCACACAATGGTTTCCAAGGGAAACCTCCCTTGGAAACCATTGTGGTGAATTCTTGTTAAATTTGTCACATTGGGCCAACCTAACCTGCTTCCATTCAAATCTATAAGCTTTCCCTGGTACCCTGCCAGCATATACCGATAGCGCAGGCAGCATTACCATTTTCAAAATAAAAAACTGCATACTTATCAAAATCCATTACGATTGATTCAGCCTTTAAACTTCTAAATGAAAGATACAAACTCACTTTCACATTACAGTGTTTTATATATATATATATATATATATATATATATATATATATATATATATATATAATATATATATATATATATATATATATATATATATATATATATATATATATATATATATATATATAGTTCAGTAAGAAACACTAGGTATCTCTATGTATGAGAGAACAAGTATAATATTAAATATACATGTATGTTTGTTTATTTGTTTCTTCTTGGCACTTGGCACGACTTAAACAAAATGTCCCTAAATTTGGCATAAACGTACTATTTGAGATTTAGACGGGCAACGGTTACTTTTTGCCGCGTTCAATCAATACATCACGCAAAGTCGCAGGTGAAGACTAGTATAGATATATTATCTTGTTTATTTTAATACACTAATTAGAGTACGTAGACTAAACAATGAAGCATTCGTAGTTTATTGTGCTGTTTACAAAGGCGATACGGAGACAATGGTTTTGTAAACATTTCACATCGAGAATTATTCTGAATGTAAATAATTTCATTGATAAATGATTTATTTATCAATTATATAAAATGTGTTATTGATAAATAAATTATGTAATTATAATTGATAAATGTCCCATTCGTGTTTCAACCGTGAAGCAATTGTGTTTCGGTTTGAAGGGTAAGATATGGCGTGAATTTACTGGGTACAGAGGAATAACACCTAAGTCCTCAGGAATGGCAACGCATGGGGGGTATCATGGGCGAAACAGTATACTCTGTTATTTCCATGGTACTGCTCATGTCTATAGGCGACGGTTACCACTTTCCATCAGGTGGGCCGTCAGCTTGTTTTCCATTCTATTCACGTCGGGTGCTAATAATATAATGGGTTACTTATTTATTAAATTGTACTACATTAAATATAGATTTAAATCATAAAAATAAAAATTAAACTGTCTCTCCTAAAGAATTGCTTCAAATAGCTCGGGAAGAACTTGGGATGTTTACATTTAAATAGCAGTAAAGTAGCTCGTTCCTAGAGAATAAAAGTAATACAATCAGCAATAATAGACGAAAGGCAAAGGAACTACGCCATACAGCCGAATAAAATTATATAATAAATTTAATACAAGATGTTTCTTATTCTATATAATTTACTTAATAATTTGTAAATGCAGAAGTTTATACATATTACTGTATATGAAGGCTTGCTATTATATTAACGTTGCTTCGTTTTTAATTGCAATTTACATTAAAATTGTATTATTAAGCTTAAAAATTTAAATACGTTATTTCTTTGTATTTATAAAGAAAGTACATATCGGAGCTCTTAAATAACACAAAATACTTTTGTATTAATTCGAAATAACATATTAATTACAATAAAATTAATACTTAATTAATATATAAATCAGTGATTTATTAATATGTATTCCGTGTAAAATAAATCATTATTTATTAATTTAATTAATGAATATATTAGTAATACAATTAAATTAGTTTTTTATTAAATAAAAATCAAATATATTATACATCAATTTTATTTTCTGAGTTAAGAAATAACGACAAAAGACCGTTCGCTGATAAGTATTTGTTTCGAGGAGTTTCATCGCTGTAACAAAACGCTTAGTTTCACGTTACTAAAATCAACTATTTGTGATTCTCACAGGCTATCAAATTCAAAGTTCACTAGAACGAGATAAAAGCTATTGTTCTTAAAACGCGATAGTGTTTTGTTAGTGCGATAGCCACGAGTAGGTAACTCCACGGTGGGCAGTCTTTGTTCTGTGACCCACTTTGTAATTTTGACGTTTCTATATACGTACTAGTGATGTACTGGATCATTAAAAATGTATATTTGAGGATATGGATGCGGAATCGGATCATCAGCGTCAGATCCTCGAATACGAATACAGACATCCATTTTTTTATTACTTGAAATTATTTTCAACCAGACTAGACTACGGTAACCGCTTACCATCAGGTTAACCATATGCTTGTTTGCCACATGGTGGTATAAAAAAGATCCAAATTCAAAAGAAGGAGGTTCTCAATTCGTATCTACTTTTTATATCTGATAGATAGATGACCTTTATTCCCATTATTAAGAAAATAAAAAATTAAAACAAAAAAAAGAAAAAAGAATAATTAATGTTGCTGGTAATAGGACATAATGTTGCCGGTATAGATCTGTTACCTAGTGTTGTCATAACTCCGTCAGTTTTAAACTGACTTGGAAAATTACTTTTTATCTGAAAGGATATTACCTACTTACGGATTGGTTCCACAGACATTTTGTCAAAATTAGATCAGTAGTTCAATTTTTAGACCAACATAACTATTTTTGTCACAATTGAAGACGATTATTTTATTAGGACACAATCTTTAATTACAATAGTAACTTTTAAGGTACGATATTAGTATATCACTGCAATAACTATTAAACTTTTTAATTTTTATAAATGTAGAGTGTAGTTTTCATAAATAAAAACAATTTTAAATGGAATTTAAAAGTGCCTAATTTAAAAAAAAATTCATATATATACAATGAAATTTAATAATATTTAAGTTAAAAAGTAACAGATACGGATCCGTATCTTTTCCCAGGTATTCGCGGATATTTTTACGAATATTGGGCACATCACTAATATTTAAGTACTCTGTACCGGTGAAGTGAAAGCGTGCGCGTATACATTTTTTATATGACATTTTGATGTGATGCGGTCTATTTTGTACGCAATCTTTTTCCGAGATAATATGAATTGTTCATGAATTCTAAGAAAATTAAATGCTGATGCCCGTTTCCGCTCGACGGGCGGTTGTCAGTTCCCCCTAATAAGGTTTTTGACAGCGTAATTTTAATGAATAACAAGAAAACATTCGTTACACGGTATTATATAAAATTGTATTGTTTTAATTAGATTTGGTCGAGCGTATTTTTGCTATATTTATCTACTGTATAAAAAGAAAGTCTTTTCTACTTTTTTTTTTCGTAGAGCTGCTATTATTAGAAAATCATACAATTGTGTTACATTTTTAATCGATCTCGAAAAAGAGACGATCCGACAGGGTTTTTTTGTAATGTGGATTTTGATGATTCTTTTTAAATGACTGAAAGCGCATCTAAATACATCCTTTAAAGTCGCGAATAAGTTGCCGGCCCATCTTACTGAACATACAACCATGCAGCAACACTTTGGCGAGAGAAACACGAATGGGGCAACTCTATGACGGGAGAACGATGAGTGGGACAAAGAAATACTTTTGTACACGACGACAGAAAAACAAAGGGGGCAGAAGTAACCGTATAAACTTTTATACAAAGTTTTCACTAACAAATCTGCACAGAACTTAATTGATTCAAAACC